GAGCTACTTTTATTTCGAGTTCGAGCAAGCACTCACTCGACCATTACGCCTACGGGCTACATTATTTCAAGTTCGAATTATTCACTCGACTATTAAGCCTACGAGCTATTTTTATTTCGAGTTCGAGCAAGCACTCACTCGACCATTACGCCTACGGGCTATATTTCTTTGAGCTCGAATCACTGACTCAACTAATAAGCCTAAGGGCTACATCACTTCAAGTTTGAGTAAAGCCTATGTTCAGACAATCACTCAACTCGGCCACTAAGCATACGAGCTACCTTATTTCAAGTTTGAGTAAGCGCTCGCTCGGTTATAGAAGCTACGAAGTCCAAATTTGATTAAGTTGTTTAAATCCTTGTGAAAATATTCATAAGGCGTGAATAAAGTCTTCACAAGACAGGAAACAAAACAGAAGCAAGTCGGCAAAAAAGAGGATATTTTTATATACAAAAATTGTTTACTTGATTGATTACAACGTAAAAATTAAGGACTAAGCTTCTTGGTCATCCCCAGGAGCGGTCTCTTCTCTATCGGGCTCCCCCCCCGGTTCTCGGATCCGCTCTTACTCCCATCGTCATCATCATTGTCATCATCATCGTCATCGGAAACCAAGGCTTCAGCATCGGCTTCGAGTTCTTTGGCCTTTTTTATCTCTTCAGCGAGGTCGAAACCTCGAGCATGGATCTCTTCGAGGGTCTCCCTCCGAGATCGACACTTAGCAAGTTCGGCGACCCAATGTGCTCGAGTATCGACGGTCTCGGCTGCCTCTCTTGCTTGGACCTGGGCAGCTTCAGCATCGGCCCGATAGACGGCCACGAGTGCATCCGCATCGGCCTTTGCCTTTTCGGCGTCAGATTCGGCCTTGGCAAGTACAGAGGCCAACCGAGCCTCGAGCTCCTCTATTCTTCTTGCTTGGACCGAGCTTTTCTCCTTCATTTTTTGAAGTTGGTTTTCGGCTAATGACAATTGGGCTCGAGCAGTTTCTCTCTCTGCAGCAAAGCGGTCCATTCCTTCTTTCCACTTCAAAGACTCCGCTCTTATCACATCGACTTCTTCACCAAGTTTTCCGATCATCTCGATTTTCTGCTGCAGCTGTGAGACCGAAGGATTAGCCATAGTTCCGGTATCAAGCCCATAGGCTTTTAAAAGCATTATTACCTGCTCGGATAGATCGATCTGATCTTGGTGAGCCCTGGCCAACTAAGCTTGGAGGTCTTTTATTTCCTCTCCCATTTGGCTCAAAAGGAGCTTTAAGGAGTTCCTCTCCTCCGTAACCTGTTGAAGCTCGACCTCGTATCGACGCAGCTCGGTTCGGGACCGAGAACATGATTCTCGATAAACTGTCGCGGCCTGCAAAGAAAGAAGAAACGAAGTCAGAAAAGAAAAGCAAACTTAAAGGTAACGCCATATGATTTAAGACCTACCTGATTCAAATCCTGCTGCACTCTATGAAAAAGATCTGATACGTCACTTGTACCGGCAGTGTCTTCGACGCCGATAAACAGGTCACGAAAAGGATCCTCTCCATCATGAGGCCTATCTAATTCGAGGGCTCCCAAAGCTTGGGCTTCCCGAATCGCCCCTGCGGAAAAAGCAGGGAAGGTGGGCGAGCCTTCGATTGCTACTGCCCCAAATGAGTCATCTGGCATTCTCTTCGGTTCGAAAAGATTCGGGAAGAGCCCCTTCAGACATATCCCCATCCGTCGGCTTCGATGGGAAACATCTTCGATCTCCAGCAACTCGGGGACTCTGCCTGAATCCCTCTCCGATATATCCTCAGTCCGAGGCGGAGCCTTATGAACCACCATCGATCCAGTTGCCTGTGGAATGTCGGTGGTCTTCTTTATTCGGGCCGCCAGCGCAGACCCATCGTTCTCTTCTTCTTCTTCTTCTTCTTCTTCATCCCTCAGACGCAGAACTGATACTACGGTCAAAGAAATGGCATTCTTGTTCGGCTTACGAGTCGTCCTCTTCTTCGGTTTTTGATCTTCGAGGATGGGGGCTCTTTTCCTCTTATTATCTTTCACCGGCTTTGGGACAGAGGCCGAAGCCTCTTCCTCGACAGACGAGGGCCTCAAAACCGCATCTTTGCCCACACTTACATACGGAAAATTTTATTGAAGTATGTGAAAAGCACCTTATTCGAATTGCCAAAAGATACGAGAGAGGTGCTCACCGTGATTTTTGGCCTCCCATCGGCCCTTTGACAAGTCGCGCCATAAGCGCTCGGCATATGAGGAGGTCGAAACCAGATCACGTACCTAGTTCTTGAGATCGGGTATTGCACCGGGCATCTAGGGAACCGCTGCATCACAAAAAGGGAATATTGGTTAGAAAAGAAATGAAAGAACAAAATAATAAGAGATAACAGCAGAATTACACTTGCGTTTCATGTTCCACTCCTCGGGAAAAGGCATCTTTTCGGTTGGGATCAGGTCCGAAGTCCTCACTCGAACGAACCGGCCCATCCAGCCTCGATCCTTATCCTCGTCTATACTCGAGAACAGAGCCTTGGTAGCTCGACGTTGGAGTTTTATTAACCCTCCTCGAAAAAGGCGAGGACGGTATAATCGGATAAGATGATCGAGGGTGAAAGGCATCCCCTCGATTTTACTCACAAAATATCGGATCAAAATAACGATCCGCCAAAAGGAAGGATGTATCTGGCCTAGGGTTATTATTTATTTACGACAAAAATCTATGATAACAGGGTCGAGGGGACCTAATGTGAAAGGGTAAGTATACACGCTTAAAAACCCTCTCACGTGAGTAGTAATATCCTCTTCAGGAGACGGCACTACCACCTCTGTGTTCTCCCAGTTACAATCTTTTTTTATCCGCTCGATGTGCTCCCGGGTTATCAAACAAATATATCTCGATACGGGCTCACATCGGCCAGGAACCGGCGAACCTTTATCGAGTTTGAAATCGGAGGTAAGAACGCACGCCGCAGGAACGCACTCCTCAGGACGAGGATCCACCGGTGTTTTGTCGGCGGCGGATTGGGAAGAAACTTTTTCTTTTTGGGGGACGGTTTTGGATGACTTCACCATTTTGGACTTAAAGAAGGTGACAAAGATTTGGTAATTTGGAAGAAGAATTTTGCAAAGAGGAATCACAGATTTGCGAATAAACTCAGAGAATACGAAAAGGAAATTGGGAAATTTGGGAGATTGAAGATGTAAAAGTGATAAATGATAAAAGGAAGGGTTATTTATAGGTTTAAGCAATGGCGGTTCAGTATCAGCGGTGGCCGACCACCGTCTGACATGCATTAAATACCTTGAAAGACTAAATCGACGGGACAGCTATCACGTGCGTCATGGTCGAGCCCAATGTAAACGTCAGCTTATAATCCGATCGAGCCGTTGAAAAATCATATCGTTTCTCACCACATTCTTCCCGAGAAACGAGGGGACTATCTGTATACGGTCGAAATAGATTTCGGCCTTAGTACGATTAATCGAGTTCGAAACATAATCGATCGAAGTAAGACTTCGAGATGGGTTACGAAGATGGTACAAACAAGCTTCGAGTCCGAGGGGCCGATCAATGTCGAGCTCGATATCATTATCAAGCTCGAATCCAAATCAAACTATGATGCAAAGTAAAATTATCGAGCTTATGATCTAGAGACCGACCAACATTGACCCCGAATCAATTCAAGAGTCCGAGTCAGAATCGAGCTCAAGCCAAGATCGAGAGCTCGAGTCAAGACCGAAACCTCGAGTCAATATCGAGCTCATAGACAAGAGCCGTTGCAATCCCACTAGAGGAGAGAATCTTGGCAGGAATTGGGAAAAACTGATTTATCATCGGTCTCCCACTACGTATTTTTAATTATTTCTGAAGTAAGATCCCTCTACTATAAAGGGGATGGTTATCATTTCTGGAAGGCACAAGTTTTTGCTTACATTGTAATTCAAGCACCATATTCTCCTATAGTGAAGAGTTGTTCTTTCAAGTTTCTTAATTTAATTCACTTGTTTAGTCCTAAAATTCATCTTCTTTACAACCTTGTCTATTTTGCATTCTTTTCAATCCATACTTGATATTTCTATTTATCCTTATGATTCGTATTAAGCTACACTACATATCCTTAGAACTACGTACAAATTCAACTCTATCCGTTTTTCGGGTAAACATGCTGGGGTTTTGTTTGAGTGAATACAGGTTAATGTTATATGAATGTCTATATCATGCAATTTCTAGATTCAGTAATCTGCTCAACGACACATTACTGAATGTTAGTATGGTATCACTTGCGTCCTTTCTAATTTTTGTATATATTTGTGATTCAGTTTTTTAGAGGCTGATGATCGGTCATTTGAGTTGTACTCATTTATCAGTACTATAAGCAAGTTTATTTGTAATTCAGTTATACGGCTTCCGGCTGTATAAAGCCTTCAGCAGGTGGAAAACCTATAACTGATGCCATGCTTACTGACAAACTCTCTAAAGAAATAAATAAAATGAAGATCAAAGATGACAAAGTAGAAAAGGTTGTTCTTGGAAGTAGGACGAGTACTCTCTTTTTCTGATATTCTTTTCCTTGTCTATGCTTGCTTATCTTTGCAAGTCTCACTGTGATAGGAAATGGAAGCAGCTGTAGTGGATGGAAATGGAACTAAAACAGGTCACATCATTGTGACAACTATTGGGGGAAAGAATGGTCAGCCTAAGTAGGTGATATGTTCAGTCATTTCGTTCGACCTCGATTGTTTCGCCAAATTAAATTATTCATTCAGCAAACTTTTTTTATTATTCTAGTTTTCCTGAATTTTAGAATTACCAAGTATTGTAAGTTTAGAAATTGATTAGCTAAAAAAAGTTCAGTTTGGAGCTAAAATGGGCGTCTAATGGCAGGGACAACTTTGCTTGATATTGCTCTGATAATATTTAGGAGAGTCAGTGGACGCTTTGATGATTTTGTTTAGGATGTAGCTCTAGATTGCAAATTAGGCAAGGTTGCGCGCTCCTACTTAACTTAATGTGGTATTTCTTGTTCTGGAGTTGACAATTTAAATGCTCGTTATAACCATTTTCTCGAGTATGGCACTGATTGTGTGAATAACCTATACTTACTTTGTCCCACAAACAAACAAAAAATTAAATAAATAAAAAAATTCAACTGAGCTTTTTCTTTTAATTTCATGTTGCTGATTGTTTTTATCATTTCCATCTTTTAATTTTCTCTTATGTGGTCTTTTGGGGTGCAAAGTTTTTTGCTAATGTTCTCTTTGGCATTCAAACCATCAGTTACATGGCAGTGCGAGTTGTTGGACAGGCTTCCTTTGGAATTGTGTTCCAGGTATGAGTTGTTAATATGTCACAGATGGTCACTGTCATAATCAAAAATGTTGTATGACAGGGGTTTAAAAAAGTAATGGCAACATACCCCCTTGGCCATAAAATTTTGTCACTGGTTTTGAAGTCACATTTTTAAATTTGCAGGCCAAATGCCTTGAATCAGGAGAAACTGTGGCAATAAAAAAGGTCTTGCACAGAAAAAGATGAACTCTACCTAAATTTGGTTCTCGAATTTGTACCTGAAACTGTCTACGTGTGTTAAGACATTACAACAAAGCCAACCAACGGATGCCTATGATATATGTCAAGCTGTACACATATCAGGTTTTCCATTTGAGTACATAATGCAACTTCCTATCATTGCACGTAGAAACAAATGAAGATAGAGTGAATCACATGATGTTGCCTAAAATTCAAGAAAACTAAATGTACCTCGTCCTTTAGGATAAAGATTACCGTGACTGCTGCTCTAGTCTGACCATGTTGTTACAGAAACCTTTTTCGCCGCTAATTTATATCATTGTCTTGGAATTATTTTGGAGTATGTAAAAATTGTAAATGTTGTGTCCTCGTTAGAAAGTGTAAATATCATGTCAACTATGCTCTTCGGTGTCGGTTAAGGGGCCCGTTCTTCGTAAAGAAAAAACAAGAAATAATAAAGAAGGTTGTCTTCGACTTAGGGGAAAATTACTCTACCCAATTACTACTCTTTTCTACTTTCAGAAAACACTTTTGAATTAATCCTATATTTAAAATGTATAAGAAATAAATGAGAAAGGTATTTCAGTTAAATAATCTTCAAAAATGTAATGATTTGCTCTCAATTAAAGGGAGATTCATTTAGTTTCGGCTAAAACACATGTGCATGAGATTTGAGCAATTCAGCTGTAATTTTTTTTTTCAACCTATCAGAAAAGCCATATCTTTTAAAATAACAAGATCTCTGTTTTGTAACTGTTAAAGATGATAATATTTAGAGTTGTTGCGTTTATCTGTCATGGAGTAAAATTGTGCCTCACTGGTTTGTGCGTTGTGCAACTCTTACACAGTGAATAGTTGTGGCTAGTAGCAAAACCTCTTCACTACACCTACCTTAGCATATCTTTCTTGCAACCTATATTTGATTGATGTTGTACCTGTACAGATTTTTAGAGCTTTCGCTTACATACATGGAATATAGAAGTCTGCCACAGGCACATCAAGCCTCAGAATTTACTGGTTTGTACTCAGTGGCGGACGCACGTGGTGGCAAGCGGGTTCAACTGAACCTGCTTCATCAAAAAATAATAATGTGTATATGTATAAATTATGATTAAAGCTGCATAAATTTTGTATAAATATTTTATTTGAACTCACTTGACAACTATTATTTTACGACTAAAGTTATGTACTTATAAGATTGAACGCGCTTGCACAAAATCATTGTGATATTGACTACTTCAATTTTCTATGCCAGGTAAACCCCCACACACATCAGCTTAAGCTCATCGATTTTGGAAGTGCAAAAGTCCTGGTAATTATAACATGTGATCTTTTAATCATGACTTGTTCTGGAACATAAATATTCTATTTATTCATTTATTCGATAACTGTCAAATACTATTTCTTATGTTACAACTCTAAGTAGTTACGTCGATGATTTTTATCACTTTCAGCTTTGCATGCGGAAGAGGATTTGTAAAAATGAGTTTTATTGGACGCTAAGTACAGTTGTGTCATGTTTGTTTGATAATTCAGGAAAAACTTGTGGTTGTGCATTGTCATAACTATGTCATTTACAATTTGTTACAAGAATTACAGGAGGTTGAATGATATTATATTATGTCCATCCTCTGATAATTCAGGAAATGAAAGTGCTCCAGAATAATAAATGATTTCTATATTTGTTCACGTTACTATCGTGCACCCGAACTAATATTTGGAGCAACTGAGTACACCAATGCAATTGACATTTGGTCTGTGGGTTGCGTCCTAGCTGAACTGCTTCTTGGGCAGGTTATATTTCCTGTAGGGTTCAACTTCTTTTATTTTGATACAAAGAAACAATGTCACAGAAGTTTATTGCTTATATTTTCCCTTCCAAATCCTGTAGCCTCTCTTTCCTGGTGAGATTGGTGTTGATCAACTTGTTGAAATAATCAAGGTATTCATCTAGCTGATTGGATGATTATTCAAATTTGTGATCTTTGGTTTGCATGATACAATAAATTGAAATGTTCTCTTTAGGTTCTTGGAACACCAACACGTGAGGAAATCAAGTGCATGAATCCAAATTACACAGAGTTCAAGTTCCCTCAAATCAAAGCTCACCCCTGGCGCAAAGGAAGAATTCTGATCTATATTCCTAAATAGAATATAAATTTCTAATGCATTGCATCACATCTAAAAACTCATGGCCGCAATCTTGCGTTGCATAGATTTTTCATAATCGGATGCCTCCTGAAGCTGTGGATCTTGTATCAAGGCTTCTCCAGTATTCTCCAAATCTGAGGTGCACTTCGGTGAGTGTAACAAGTTCTCTCTCTGTGTTTTCTCTTTACTTTTCCTCCAGTGAGATCCTCAGCTATAAGCGAATTGGTGAGATTAAAGAATGTAGTACTGGTTGAAGCTCCCAAATCAAACATGAGGCAGCATCCATTTGTGTAAAAAAAATTTAGGTATCTTTCCTTTTGGTATGGTTTTAGATAATTGTGGAACCATGTTATTCTAAGGCAGAGCAACAGTTAGAAAACGATAAGTTCCTTTTGGAGGATAGACTACTTTTCTTCCATGATGATTCACTCCAAGGCAGAACACAACAGAGGACATTAAGTTCATTATAGGATAGACTACTTCTCATGTTAGAACTATGAGAGAGGGAAAGCCAGGTGAGAACCGCCATTGCGGTCTGTTTGCCACTTTTGCTTCAAAACTTGGAACAATTAGTTATTCTCCATTTCCAATTATGCCAAGGTCACCTTGGAGATCTATATTGATGGTAGGCTATAATTGCGTACTGTGGCCATTAATTGTACTCTAATTTGCTTCACTTTACTAGTGTTTGAGCTTTAAATGGTACTCCCTCCGTTTCAATTTATGTGAACCCATTTGACTGGGCACGAATTTTAAGAAAAGAGAGAAGACTTTTGAACTTATGGTGTAAAATGAGGCACATATATTTTGTGTGGCTATAAATCATTGCATAAAGGTAAATTGTTGCCAAATAATGAAAGAGGTCATTCTTTTTTGAACGGAATAAAAAGGAAATAGGTTCACATAAATTAAAACGGAGGGAGTATTATTTTGCACTGAGTGTGCGTTTTATGCTTTGTAGGAGCGAATCTGAGTTATGATGAGGTTTTGGAGTTAATTCGAGCTATTCTGGAGCTTTGAAGTCTGAGTAAAAGCCCACGAATTAAGTGGGTATCGTAATCGAGGATCAACGGACAATAATGCACTTAACGAAGAGAAACGAAAAATGTAGCAGGAAGCCACCCAGGTGCGTGATCGCGCACTAGGCGCGCAAGTGGAGCAGAACACTATCCAAAGTGCGCGGCCATGTGCGCGATCACCTGCCCAGGTGCGCGGCCATGCACGTCCAGTCCGGAAAATTTCCCAAGCCTATTTTTGTAATTTCGGAGGCGACTCCTCTTGACCTATATGAAGCCCAGCTCGTCTAAAAAGAAGGTATCTTGGATTTGGGGAGCAACTTTTGGGAGAGAAGGAAGGAAACAACGGAAACGCAAAATATTTGATCTAATTCATTCAATACGAAAGTTTATTTTAATTTGGGAATTTTAATGCCTTCTTGTTCTTCTAATACTCTTGTGGTGAATATTTTCTCCATTATGGAGTAATCTTTCTTAGGGTTATTGACGGATGTTGTGATTTGACTGTCGTTTTGGGTTTTACTCTATGTTAATTGCCCGAATTCATTGAATGAGTTATTGATTGGATTGCAAGGCTTATTGTAGTTTTACTTTAATCTAAAGAGAAGTGTTACTACTATTCGCATTGTGCCATATTGTTTGGGTTGATTTTACACCTTTTCTAGGTAATCGAAAAAGCATAGAGAGTTTAGAAGAATAATCGAGAGGTGTTCTTCGAAAGACCATTCATTCACTATTTTATGCATATGTTCATAGGACCTGTTATTAGGTTGATCAAAGGAATCTCAATCATTCGGAAGAAGAATTTGAATCCCTAAAGGAGCCTAATCATCTGTTAAAATCGAAGGAGTCAATAGAAGTTAAGAATGAACTTAACCGAGAGTTACCCGGAACAATAGTTGATCACATTTCTTGTCACAACCCTTACTTTTCACCCTGATATTCAATCGTTGCTACTAGTCATTAAAGTGTCATTAGTTTCTTATAATTGATAATCTTAATTTTATTTGTAGTCGATAATAACATCAATCAAAGGTTTATTATCCTGGATAGTGCTAAGCTGAAGATTTACTAAAACATTATTTAATACTATACTATCTTTGACTAGCGAGCCTAAGTTTTATACACCAGTTTTGCGCTCGTCAAATTTTGGCGACGTTGCCGGGGACTAGCGATTAATAGTGTTTAAATTAATTTTCAGTGCTAATTCAAAAATAACTTTGTATTTTATTTTCCTTTTTTACGCTCTTCTCATCTGTGTGCAGGCAAACAGGTTAAGTTCAGCTGTGTATAACTCGATCCTCCTCAAAGGACTTGGTGGCATACGAACGAGAGTTAGACAAGCACCAGAGGCAGTTGAGAAGAGAGAAAGGATCGAGTGGATTGTTGTTGGGTCATCCTTCAACTCAAAATACAATGGTAAACAACGAAAGGGTAGTGGACCTAGTTGCTAGAGAGGCGGCTCAGCAACGAGAAGCACGGTTAGCAGCTGAAGCAGCCAGAATTGCAGATGAAACGGTCGACGGGGAACGAAGGTTCAATCCAAATCGAAACGTGATATAAGATGAATTTGAAAATGCAGCTCCTAGACCTGGGAGGTCGTTAGGAGATTATGCCAGACCGGTGTATAACCAACAGCAGTCTAGTGTGAGACCACCACCCATTGATGCAAATAACTTTGAACTCAAACAGGGAGTCATCCAGACCATTCGAAATAATTGCATATTCAGAGGGAAACCTAATGAAGATCCCAACAACCATCTGATGGACTTCGATGAAATTATGAACACATTCCGTTACAATGGAGCATCACATGATGCCATCTACTTCAAAGCATTCCCGTTCTCTCTTAAGGATGATGCAAAGCAGTGGTTAAGAAGTCTGCCCACAGGGTCAATCCGTACGTAGAAGGAGATGACGACCAAGTTTTTAGAAAAAATATTTCTATGTCGCTAAGACTGGACGAATAAGGAAAGAGATTCATAATTTCAGCCAAGGTGATGGGGAGACAGTGTTCGGGGCATGGGAAAGATTCAAGGAGATATTGCGTAGGTGCCCTCATAACGGAATAGAGTAATGGATGCAACTCCCGGACTTTTGGGACGGTTTAACCCCGTCGTCAAGGAGATTGTTGAATTATGCGGTTGCAGGCCCTCTGATGAAGAAAACTCCTGAAGAGATTGTCACTCTTCTGAATGAACTATCTGAATACGCAAAACAATGGTCCATTGATCAAGGGGACCGTAAAAGATCAGTAGGGGTGCACCAAGTAGAATCCTCGGTAGCAATGCAGGCCCAAATTGTAGCTATGGCTAAGGACATCAAGCAACTGATGCTAGCTCAGGTGCAAAATCAACCACATGTGGCATGTGACATCTGTGGATTGTGACACCCGACACATGAGTGTCAAGCTACAGCTGAGGAAGTCAACGCTGTGGGGAACTTCAAGGAGGTGGTAATTTCAATTCTATGGGATAGAGACATCCAGGATTCTCATGGAGTTCTTCAACTGGTAGTTTGAACTCATGGCAGCAGCAAAATCCCAGAGCACCAGTGCAAGGACCTCCTGGTTTCCAAACTCAACGGAGGCAACCATACCAACTTCCACAACCCAACAACTCAGGTTTAGAAGATCTAATGAAGGCATTTATAAATAAATCTGATGAGAAACTTGAGACTCAAGGGACCGCTATCAGGGAGCAAGGCACAGCCATCCGGAATCTGGAAAGATAAATGGGGCAGCTTTCAACATTGTTGTCAGATAGGGCGCCGGGGACTTTGCCGGCAGACACTGAAAAGAATCCAAAAGAGACAATCAAAGATGTGTCTCTCAGGAGTAGGAAAACATTAGCAGCGCCAAAGGCAAAACCAAGGGACGAGAGGGAGATCAACTCAACCAAGATAGCTGAAGAACAGAAAATCGGTGAATCATTGCCCAAGGAGAATGTTAGCATCAAGGATGTTGATAAGCAGAAGGTGAACAACACAGTTGAGGAAAGCAAGAACATGCCATTGTTACTTTTTCCTCAAAAGATGAAGCGGGAGAAATTAGACAAATGCTTTGGGAAATTCTTGGAGATGTTGAAACAGTTGTATGTGAACATCCCGTTCACGGAGGTGCTCACACAGATGTCGGCCTTCTGCAAAATTTCTGAAGGAAATCCTCTCAAGCAAAAGAAAGCTCGAGAAAACGAAAGTAGTCAAACTCAATGCACACTATAGTGCCATTCTATAGAACAAAATTCCCAAGAAGTGTGGAGATCCTGGCAGTTTCACTATACCTTGCTCGTTGGGTAGCGAAAATTTTGACAAAGCCTTGTGCGATTCAGGTGCATCCATTAACTTGATGCCATTATCGATGTTCAAGAAATTGGAAGGAGAGCTAGGAGTTATCAAATATGTGTCAGTATCCTTGCAACTGGCTGATCAGACCACGATCATATCGGAGGGCATAATCGAGGACATTCTGGTAAGGGTAGACAAATTTATTTTCCCAGTAGACTTCATCGTAGTAGATATGGAAGAGAATAAGGAGGTACCTCTAATTCTGGGGAGACCATTCCTTTACACTGGCCGAGCTATTCTTGATATATATGAGGGACAACTCATGCTACGAGTGGGAAACAAAAAAATGGTGTTTCAAATGAAGAGAATGATGAAATACCTGTGTGACGAGGCATCTGCCTATGCTTGTCTCAAGCTAGATGTGGTGGGAGAGTTAGCTGAACAACACAAAATGGATAAGCTGGTAGGTGACTCACTGGAGAGATGCATTAGTCAATCAAGCACAACAGAGGATAAAGATCCTGAGATCAAGAAGGAAGTTAAGGCGCTGGAATTGAAAGTACTCCCGACACATTTGAAATATGTTTTTTTGGAGACTAACAATTTTCCTGTGATTATTGTTGCTGATTTGAGAGGTGAACAGGAACACATGCTTGTGGAGTTACTACGGAAGCATAAAAAGGCAATCAGTTGGAGTATTACCGATATTCACGGGATCAGCCCCGCAATCTGCATGCACAAGATCCTGTTAGAAGAAAGGAAGTAAACCAGTGGTGTAGCCCCAACGCAAATTGAATAAAAATCTTGAGGAGGTGGTTCAAAAATAGATACTCAAATTGCTGGATACATGCATAATATTTTCCATCTCTGACAGTTAATGGATCAGCCCTGTACAGGTTGTGCCGAAAAAAGGGGGCATGACGGTGGTAAAAAACGAGGACAACGAGCTAATTCCTACCAGAACAGTTACTGGGTGGAGGATATGCATTGACTACCAGAGATTAAATGATGCAACAAGGAAGGATCATTTCCCTCTTCCTTTCATTGATTAGATGTTGGAGAAGGTGGCAGGGCGTGGATGTTCCTGCTTCTTAGATGGATATTCAGGGTACAATCAAATACTCATTGCTCCCGAGGATGTTGAGAAAACCACTTTTACATGCCTGTCTGGAATCTTTGCATACCGGAGAATGCCTTTCGGACTATGCAATGCACCTGCTACTTTCCAGAGATGAATGATGTCAATATTTTCAGATTTAAACGGGAAGTGTCTGGAGGTGTTCATGGATGACTTTACTCTATTTGCAGATGACTTTGAAGATTGCTCGAGGAACCTCGAACTTGTTTTGAAATGATATGAGGACACTCACCTAGTACTCAACTGGAAAAGTGTCACTTCATGGTTAAGAAGGGGATAGTCCTGGGCCATAAAGTCGCAGCTGAAGGTATTGAAGTTGATAGAGCTAAAGTAGACGTGATAACCAAGCTCCCGCCACCGACCTCAGTGAATAGCATGAGAAGTTTTTGGGGCATGCCGGTTTCTATAGAAGGTTCATTAAGAATTTTTCCAGCATTACCAAGCCCTTGAATGCATTACTTGCCAAGGATGTAAAATTTGTATTTGATGTGGAATGTCTCAGAGCATTCGAACTGATTAAGGAGAAGCTAGTGAGTGCCCCCATAATGGTGACTCCTAACTGGAGTGAGCCTTTTGAGATAATGTGTGACGCTAGTGATATGGTAGTAGGAGCAGTGTTGGGGCAGAGGAGAGATAAATTGTTCCGACCCATTTACTATGCAAGTCGGACCTTGAATGATGCTCCGATGAACTATGCTACCACGGAGAAGGAGTTCTTTGCAGTAGTCTTTGCTTTCGACAAGTTCAGATCCTATTTGGTGGGAAGCAAGGTAATAGTGCATACTGATCACTCAACACTGAAATATTTGCCGAGTAAGAGAGAGTCCAAACCGCGTCTGATGCGGTGGGTATTGTTGCTGCAATAATTTGATCTAGAAATCAAGGGCAGGAAAAGCACAGAAAATCAAGTGGCTGACCACCTGTCGCGATTGGAAAAACCACCCATTGAAGTGATGGACATTCGGGAAGAGTTCCTAGATGAGCAGATTTTTTCCATTGCAGCATCTCCGATAGACCACCATGGTTCGCCGACATAGAAAACTTCTTGGATAGTGGGTGGCTACCACACGACTTAACCTCAGATCAGAAAAAGAAGCTGCAAGGTGAGGTAAGATATTATTTTTAGAATGACCCTTTCTTGTTTAAACTATGTGCAGATGGTGTGATTCGAAGATGTGTTCCGGACGGCAAAATGGCGAGCATTTTGTCTCATTGCCACGATGGAGCAGCTGGAGGACACTATGGTGGGAATCGAACTGCAACAAAGGTCATGGAAGCCGGTTTCTTTTGGCCTACCCTGTACAAAGACGCGAGAGCGTAAGTAGCTACATGTGACAAGTGTCAAAGGGTAGGTAATATTAGCAAGAGGGACGAAATGCCTCTCAACTCCATTCTGGTATGTGAAATTTTTGACGTTTGGGGCATTGACTTCATGAGTCTGTTCCCATCGTCACACTCGTATGAGTATATCCTAGTAGCCGTTGACTACGTCTCTAAGCGGGTCGAAGTAATCCCTATTAGGATCAATGATGCTCGGGTGGTGTGTGAATTCTTAAGGAAAAACATCTTTACCCATTTTGGGACACCTAGAGTGATTATCAGTGACAATGGGTCACACTTTGTGAACAAGCAGTTTGCTGCACTGCTATCCAAGTATGGGGTCACACACAAAACGGAAACCCGTACCATGCCCAGACTAATGGGCAGGTCGAAATGGCTAACCATGAACTTAAATGAATTCTTGAAAAGACGGTTAGTGCTTCTCGTAAGGATTGGTCGGTAAAGTTGGAAGAAGCTCTATGGGCGTACAGAACTGCTTTCAAAACAACCATAGGGACTTCACCATTCAAACTAGTATATGGAAAATTGTGTCACCTACCTGTTGATATAGAACATAAGCTTATTGGGCAATTAAGATGCTTGATCTTGATCTTAGTCTTGTAGGTGAACACATGTTGGCGCATATGGATGCATTGGAGGAGTTTAGACTGGACGCGTAGGAAAATACGCGAATTTTCAAGGAAAAGACTAAAAGGTGGCATGATCGTCTGATTAAGCCAAAAGAGTTTCATGAAGAGGATAGAGTCTTACTGTATAATAGTAGACTCAGATTGTTCCCCAAAAAATTTAAGTCTAGATGGACAAGACCGTATGTGGTGAAACATGTATCACCATATGGGGAAATTGAGATCCAAAACCAGGACGGAACAGAAAGTTTCAAAGTGAATGGGCACAGACTAAAACCGTATCTTGCTGTAGGGTTTGCTCAACAATCCTCGAGCATCAAAATCAGTTGAGGATGCCCGGTTGAGTCAAGCTGACGACTATAACTCAGAACTACTTCTCACTCTTCGATTAGTTAGATTTTTCACGTTTATTTATAGTGTAGAATAGATAGAAATTAGTGTATAGTATGATGTGGTAGGTGCAGGAACGTACATGTCGCGGAAGGTAGGAATTAAGGTGTCTAAAAGACCCTTTTTCGAGTGTATCCGTGCGCGACCGCGCACCTGGGGGGCACCTCGCGCATTTGGTCGCGCAACAGGCAGCGTTATACGAAGTGGGACGTGCACGGCCGCGTATCTGATGGGGTGACCGCGCACCTGGTCGCGCATTTTCACCAGTGCACTGCCTCAAGTGCGCGACCACGTGCGCAATCGCGCACCGACCCCGCATCAGGTAAGTTTTTTACCCTTTTTAGTTTAATGTCGGACTTTTCCCTCTCAAAACCCCCAATTCTAAAATTCCCTATTTCTCTCCCCTACACTAAACAACCGTAATTCGACCCCATTCTCTCATCCCCTCTATGTAAGACAAACAACACCACACCACCCCTCTCTTTCTCCCTTCATCCAATCTCACGAGTCTTCTCTCCCGAGTCCCCTCAGGCAAGTGAGATGATGTCTCTCTCTTTTCTTAGTTTATTGTATTTTATTTTGCTTGTGTTTTAGCAGATTTTATTTTTTGTTTTCTTTCTTTTTATGCTCTTTTTTGCATGAGGTGGAAGACGAGTTTCACCATGGAAACTGACCATATAGTGGTTGGGTGTGACATTGGTATATCCTTAGTCTAATTAGGGCTGAAATTGAGTTGTGGGGGTTAGGAAGAAATGTGCTTGTTATGTGTTTGTGAAATTGCCTCAATGAGACTATGTGTAATATAGTGACCAAGTGTAAGGGTGAAGTCTGAGTAGCCTCTCTTTGTTCGCCATGTGATTCATTAGCTAATAGTTGACGGTTTGTTGCAGGTACAATGGCGCCATCCAAGAAACGAAAAACCACAGGCGCCTCCACAAGTGGTCAAGCGGGCACCTCCCGGTCACGAGCTTCGGCATTTGCTCGCCCGTATGATCTAAACAAGTTCGTCTCCTGGGAAGCCCAGGAACGATTCCAACACAAGGCAAGCAAGAAGCCCATACCGAAGAAGGGAATTGATATTGGGTCTCTGTAGACTGACTGTCCTAGAGTGTATAATGAATTGGTCAGGCGAGGCTTGGGGGTATTCTTTGAAGAACCTGATGAGACAAACTTAATGGTTGTTTGGGAGTATTATGCAATTTTCCCGGACCATGACAACCATGTCTGCACAGTCCGGAGAAAGAGAGTAGACTTCTCCAAAGAGGCCATCCGAAGGGCCTATCATTTTTCGGAGTATGTGGAAGACCCTAATACAGGTGACTACTACGCCACGCACCGCGGAGAACCATACCTGTGGCGCCTGCTCTTTGCAACCATTTGTGTACCTGGGAAGGAGGTAGTATGGATAAAGGAAGGGCACAAGTTTCACTCGACTTCGCTTACCTTTGAAGGAAAATGCTGATTGTACCTCATTAATAACTGCATGTTGCCTTCAGGCAACACCACTGAGGTGAATGGTCCCCGGGCTGCTATGATTTGGTGTTTCGTCAATGGACACGATTTTGATGTGGCTCAGGTAATTCAAGACGAGATGACCACTCGGTGTCCTGTGCAGAAGTATGGGTTCTTCTTCCCTCATTAGTAACTCGGTTATGTAGTGAGGCACGGGTGATGGAAAACAGGGCCATGGATGGGAAGGTCAAGCGCGAACAAACAATCTAGGCTAATAAAGTTATAATTAGGAAGGAACCTGCTGGACCTGCTGAGGCAGATAGTGAGAAATCTGATGCGCCTGACGAGGGTAATGAGGGGCACGGTGAGGCTGTTGTTGCTTCTCAACCGCATGAGCCGGGTGTTGGGGAAACTTCACGTTGTGGATGTGACACGAGAATGAGCGCTTTAGAGTAGGAGATGGCGGGGATGCATACTTCCGTCACTGATTTGGGTACTTGAGTGGACGCCTTGGCCATACAAAATGCCAAATCCGAGAAGAAGATCATGGCATAGCTACGTGCACTTGGCAGGGCTTGTAATCTAGACCCCGGAACCGTCTCCGACACGGACTGACTTGATCAGGGGAGTTTTCTTCACCTTTGCATTTTTCTTTGTGTGTCATGGGGACATTCCACCATTTAAAGTGTGGGGTGGGGAATATTTGTATGTTGTATGTATATGAGTTTTGTTTCTGGTAGTTATAGTTTGTTGTGTTAGTTGCAGTAGTTAGTAATAGATGAAAAAACAAAAATACATAAAAAATTTAAAATATTCGATTTCTCCCGACGATGGATACCATTCGACGGATTTATTGAGGGATTAAAGTCGAAAGAAAAAGACAAAAATATTCTCTTGTTAGGTAGTGTATTAATTCTCCCTTGGTTTTTCTTTATGCTGCGGTTCTTTTCCAAGGGTTTTGATTGAACCGGGTGTAGTTAGTTTTATTTTTTTTCTGTTAGGAGTAGGTACCCTTAGCTCTGATCTGAAAGGAAAGCAACATCTTTGGACTATGTTATGCCTTGAGAATAGTGAGTGCTCTAGCTGTGACGCTTAAGCTCAGTTTTTTACTCTCGTAGAAGTACCTTAAATTATATGTTCTTGACTTTGCTTAACTGTTTTGACTGGAGTGTCTTGATGAGTCCGATCTTGAGTGAACATGTGCCGTGTGTGGGTGAGGTTTTGTATTATTCTGTGCATTGCATTTGATGTCTAGAACTTGCCCTGTGTGTTTGAAAAGCAAAATAGTAGTTATTCTGTCTTGAAAGTGATATAGGCATTTCTTTGTTGAATCAGTTATATGCCTTATCCACCTAATTGTTATGTATCTTAGTTAACCCTCTTTGAGCTTGTAATCTTGTTTTTTTTGGCAAACATTACAAGCCTTACCCATTTATTTGAATTGATCCTCTATTTGAACCTTTACCTCTCATGAGCACTTAATTGTTGTGAACTTTGTAAAGTTGAAGGGTGGGGTGGTTGGTTTGGCTTTTGAGTGGAACTAATAAAATAAGGAGACAGATGCACTAGTTTGAAAAAGTAAGATCCACTTGAATTGAGGGGAAAAAAAGTGAATTGTTGTGCAAAATATTCTTTGATAGTGGTGACTCTTGGTGTAATTGTGCTTAAAGAAATAGGGAGTTAATATAATTTGATGTGAAGGTGGAGTATGGTTTGACATAAGTATGGGGTTGAATGGTTAAGTATATGTATTGAAAGTGCTTAGGGAGGTGTAGTCACTCTTATATCTACACGCATCATACCCGTCCTACAGCCTACATTACAACCACGAAAATCCTACTTGATCCTTGATTGAATGAGCTTAATTAGTAGAGTAGTACACTACGGGCAAGCCTATGGTTCATCTTTTGTGGCATATGAATGTTGTTTCTGAGAGTGAGTGAATTCTTTCTATCTTGAGTTCCTAATTGTTCTTAATGTCTTTATGTATGGAATTACTCTCCATGTTTGTGTGAGGGCACTGGATTCACGAAGAAAAGGTAATGCTTGACCTCTGTGTTAGAGTAAGTGAGCAGGTTATAGATAATGCGTGGTGCTTTTGAGTCAAATCTTGAGGTTAAGATGTTCAATATTGTACTTAATCTGTTTTAAAGAGTCTTGGTGTGATGAGTCTTGAGTGTTGTTGAAAAAGGGCATATTCTAGGTGAAGTGTAGTTTGATTGCTCGAGGATGAGCAATGGTTAAGTGTGGGGTGTTGATGATAGGCTATAATTGCATATTTTGGCCATTAATTGCACTCTAATTTGCTGCACTTTACTAGTGTTTGAGCTTTAAATGGTATTATTTTACACTGAGTGTGCGTTTTATGCTTTGTAGGAGCGAATCCGAGTTAGGATGAAGTTTTGGAGTTAATTCAAGCTATTCTGGAGCTGTGAAGTCTGAGTAAAAGCCCATGGATTAAGTAGGGATCGTAATCGAGGATCAACAGACAATAATGCACTTAACGAAGAGAAATGAAGAATGGAGCAGGAAGCCACCCAGGTGCGCGACCGCGCACTGGGCGCGCAAGTGGAGCAAAACACTATCCAAAGTGTGCGGCCATGTGCGCGATTACCTGCCCAGGTGCGCGGCCGCGCACGTTCGATCCGGAAAATTTCCCAAGCCTATTTTTGTAATTTCGGAGGCAACTCTTCTTGACCTATATGAAGCCCGGGTCGTCTAAAAAGAGGGTATCTTGGATTTGGAGAGCAACTTTTGGGAGAGAAGAAGGAAGGAAGCAACGAAAACGCAAAATACTTGATCCAATTCATTCAATTCGGAAGTTTGTTTGAATTTGGAAATTGTAATGTCTTATTGTTCTTCTAATACTCTTGCGATGAATATTTTCTCCATTATGGAGTAATCTTTCTTAGAGTTATTGACGGATGTTGTGATTTGACTATCGTTTTGGATTTTACTCTATGTTAATTGCCTGAATTCATTGAATGAGTTATTGATTGAATTGCAAGGCTTATTGTAGATTTACTTTAATCGAAAGAGAAGTGTTACTGCTATTCGCATTGTGCCATATTGTTTGGGTTGATTTTACACCTCTTCTAGGTAATCGAAAGAGCTTAGAGAGTTATCAATTAACCCAGTTTAGAAGAATAATCGAGAGGTGTTCTTCGAAAGACCATTCATTCTCTATTTTGTGCATGTGTTCATAGGACCTGTTTTTAGGTTGATCAAAGGAATCTCATTCACTCGGAAGAAGAATTTGAATCCCTAAAGGAGCCTAATGATCTGTTGAAATCGAAGGAGTCAGTAGAAGCAAAGAATGAACTTAACCGAGAGTTACCCGGAACAATAGTTGATCACATATCTTGTCACAACCCTTACTTCTCACCCTGATATTCAATCGTTGCTACTAGTCATTAAAGTGTCATTAGTTTCTTACAATTGATAATCTTAGTTTTATTTGTAGTCGATAATAACATCAATCAAAGGTTTATTATCCTGGATAGTGTTGAGCTGAAGATTTACTAGAACATTATTTAAATCAATCTTTGTGGAGACGATCTAATACTATACTATTTTTTACTAGCGAGCCTAAGTATTATACACCGGTTTTGCGCTCGTCAAATATCAGGGAAGGTCTCTTTGTGGTTACTAGAAAGTACGGTTGGTTTCATTGTTGAAGAATCAAGTATTCCTAACTTCTCTCTCTGGACCTGATATCAAATCCGAAATGATTTTATCATCTTTGAAATGTCTCAAAAAACAATGCTACTATAAAACTAACTTATGGCATTAGAAAGAAAAGGTGAATTATGTGTTACCCACAAAAGCAGATGTTATGTGTTACCTACTGAACCAGTGTTTCTTCCCCTGATGGCGATTTGATATTTTATGTCACCCATAAGAAGGGCCGAAGAGGAACATTCCTTGATTCAGTTCCATTATTTGCTTTCGAGTTTCCTGTCCTTGCTCTAGTTGTATAACATGAAGAAGAAATGTATTTCATGGTTTTAAGTGATTGATTTCATTCTTTTTGCAGTTGGAAGCTCTTGTTTAATTGTTATCTTCTCCTCCAGTTTAAGGAATTTGTTCTTTTCCTTCATATATTATTTTTCTCATTATGAAATATCACTCTGCAGAGCTGAAAGGAGCGTCTCCGGACCCAGAGGCGAAGCCAGAATTTAGAGCTTATGGGTTCGAGGTTCTAGTCCTTTTAATTTACTGGGTTCTAAATTATCAATTCTTACATATTCAATAAATTTCGTAAGACAAATACACAATCTGGATCAAAGCGACAGGGTTCAGTCGAACCCGTAGTCGATGGGCTAGCTCCGCCTCTATCCGGACCTCTTAAGCAAACTGTTACTAGAACATGCTAAAAAGCAGTTTCCCTTCCTTTGCTTCTAATCTTATATGAATGTGTATCTTTGTAAAATTGATCTTATTTGCGACCACTGTATTAATTCCCCATATATATTGATTGAAGGAATAGGACGTCGTTTGACATCTTCATTCCATTATATGCCACTTAAATTATCTAATCAGCTGATTTTGACATGTACCTTACACCAGAAACAATTAATATGTATCGTAAAAATTACCTTATTTATGAGATGTATGCATAGTTTAAATATTTTTGTTCTATCTCAGCTTAGTTTGCAACGATCTTACTATTTTAGTTGAGTCTATTACACCGGTTTGCGCAAATACCTTATTGGTGCACCGTGCACGTAAATTTAACGTAATTGACTCAACATTCCAACTAGAGTCCATATGTTATCGTTAAATGAAATTAGACACGCATGGTATTGTCGTGTCTTTTTTCTTTTTTGATCTTTATAAGTTATTACGTAGTATCCACAATTATCGTTATCATGTGTCATATTCCATTTCGATACTTAAATGTTGACATACATATTATCACACCATTTTATATTAGTTTTGATTAGTCAGATTATCATAGTATCTTTGTTTATTTAGTACTATATTTTTAAATTTCAAATTAAATCTGCCTCCTCTGTAATTATCATGATAAAATGGAACAACATAACAAATTACAGCAACTCCCCTTTCTTGTATTCGAAAAGTATTGAATAGGAAACATATTTAATGGATACGAATTGTGGCTCTACCAGATCTCGACTTAATTCATGATAAGCTCATAAACTTCTTATCAAAATTTTGGCGGTCAAAAACTATCATATTTCAAGATTCAATCAAATCGGTTTCTAGTTTTAGTTAGAGATCATTGTGTTCACTCCGGCGGTTCAATAAAGAGGTGAAACTAATGTCTATCTTTCTAGTATAAACCACATACTTTGCATGTTGTCTCGCCATGTCTAGTACGTTTGAAAAGAGGCGGAGTCAGGATTTGAAGGTTATGGGTTCTGATCTAATCATTGAACCCTAGGTCATTGTAATTACTCAGTTTGCAATTAAATATTTTTACACATTTAATGAATTTTCTAATACAGATTATAAGTTTAAGCAAAAACTATTGAGTTCGTCTGAACTCGTAGCTACTACACTACCTCCGCCCCTGCATTTGTGTATAGGGTAAAATTAGTTCATATTAAATACTCGTATAATAGAGTGACACGTGGGGCCAGAGACAAATAAAAAGTGAGACAAGAGAAAATCAAGACCGGGGGTAGTAGTTTCGGTTGGCACCGGGAAGCCCCCGAAGGGAATATTGCTCATGAAGATAAATGAATGTCTGACACCCGATAGCATTCAATAAAGAATATTGTGCAATATTAAATACATGGTCCGTTATAGAGAAGATAACATTCACAGCCTGTCGTTACACATTCTTCAATGACCCCCATAACTGTCATTTAAGAGGGGCTTGATCCTAGGACCTTATTATCTAGGTGCAACTATAAATAGTGACTTCAACAAGCCAAGCCATTAGAGGGAAGAATTTTCTAATAAACTTATGTTGTATATTATTCTAAGCTCAATAACACTTTATTTCTTGTCTATTGGTATTATTATTATTGCCTACGGAAGCTCTGTTCTGAAAACCAAGCTATCTGTTGTCTTATCTCGTTTTCAACGCTAAGTCTTGTATTTTTAATTAATTTATTTATCATTTTGGGATTAAATCGATTCGTGTGTCTATAAATCATGTACAAATCAACTGTACTGGTAAATAGTTTGATGGAAGTAAAAGAACGAAGTTAGACATATTATAGTATCTAAAAAATTTCCTTCTCAATAATGGAATTATGTAACACTGTTTTGCGTTCTTTTTCGTGAGCGTTTTTGAGTGTTTTGACATCATTTTATTAATAACTAGTGAAC